CACCATTTGTACAATTTTGAATCCCTGCATCCCATGAATGCTTTTGATTAAATATGATTGATATCCAGTGCATAGTTCTACAGAAGAAGTCGTTTATAGCAATCTAGCCAAATTGCCCCCTTTTTGGCCCCGCCCCTCAGCCCCCTGGGGGGTCAGCCCAACCATTTGTACAATTTTGAATCTCCACCACCTAGGGATGCTTCCAGGCAAATATGGTTGATATCCATCTCTTAGTTCCAGAGAAGAAGTCGCTTAAAGCAATATAGCCAAATTGCCCCCTTTTTGCCCCGCCCCTCAGCCCCCTGGGGGGTCAGCCCCACCATTTGTACAATTTTGATTCCCCACCACCTAAGGATGCTTCCAGTCAAATTTAGTAAAATTCCAATCAGTGGTTAAGAAGAAGAAGTCGTTTAAAGAAATTGTTGACGGACGACGACGGACGACGGACGGACGGACGACGGACGCCACGGTATGGCATAAGCTCACCTTGGTCCTTTGGACCAGGTGAGCTAAAAATATAACTGCTCATTTTGTATTTATGTAACCGGGTTTGGTAAAAGTAACAGGCTGTTAATGTTTTATGGTGTTATCGAGGGGCGAGTATTTTATGCACAAAATATTAATTTTGATATTATTTTATGAGGAATGAACATTTTATATGAAGCGGCATGAATGTTCAATACACCTGTTCAATCTTTATATACAATGTGTCTATATGTGAAATGCATTCCTCAATCAACAGTGCAGATAATAATTAGTGATATAAAAGGATTTTTTAGGGGTCAAGGCCACTGGTTGAATAATTATTCAGATTATACTTCTATTCATTCATAAATAGCTTCGATTACTGGTTTAGCTTTTTACTAAATAATTAACGCAATAAAACACATGCAATATATATTTAAGTACAAGTATACTCAACAAAAAAGAAACGTCATAATTTCTTACGTCTTTTTTACGTCTAATGTCCCCGGATATCCATATCCCAAACATGTTTTGACAAATGTTATCATTGCCTGGTAACAAATCTTACAAATAAGGATTTACATGAGTTTTCTCTTCTTCTTTTTTTTACAGAAAGACATGTTGACGTTTCTTATTTGTTGAGTTTATTTAATCAAACAGACAAAAAGTCTTAGTGAAGTGATTTGCATGCAAAACCAATCCAGAAAATAAACAATTACATGCTTTTGCTTGAAATAGTGACCTTGACCCCGAGTCGGCTGTGTCCAATCGAACGTTACTTCTTTTCTGCTATCAAGCTGCGGATCTGTTTACGCCTGTCCTCGTCGATGGGATACATCCAGAGGAAGATGAGAGCAATGAGACAGAAAATGACGGGGCCAGGAACGATGAGTAAGCGTAGCGCGAGGCCTACGGACGACGGCTGGCGACATTCACCTGTTTGGTAACCGCCTATCCTGTAAATAAATAAAAGAGATGAAGGATCGGTGACTTGGCGTTTTTCTGTTAAATGACAAATCTTCTGATTCGTCAAAAAAACAAAACAAGTGGTTTATTTTGTCATAAAAGCGCCTTTGAGTAATTTTGCAAATTATGTCGGGCTCTTTACATGTTGTATATGATTATTATCAATAAACGTTTGAGATACCTAGCTGATCTATAATAAGTATATCAGATGATTTCTTTTTGTTTAAAATATTACCCTTATGAAATATATCCCTCTTTTATAATTAACAATAATTATTTCTTAAACTTACATATTGTTTGCATAATTCCATGAATTGAAATTGCCGAAAATGTCCACTTTATTTACAATCTGTACTTAGGGGGAAGTGTATCTTTGAACATTGGTTTCTCTTTATTTAAAAGGTTTATTCTGATTTAAGATTCCCCTTCTGTAGTAAAGCCAAACATTGAGGTATCATTGCGTTCACATATGGCATTTACATGTTCTACTTTTTGTATACTTACTCTAAAACAACTTGAGAAATTCCTAAGGCTAAACCAGCAGCTAATTTATTGAAAAATACGTAAAAAGAATAAAAAATGGCGTCTTTTCGTTGCCCTGTCTTCAACATAAATTCGTCCAGGACATCAGGCAACATCGACCTGAAAAACATGGTATAGTATTTTATGTCCTAAAAGTAGAAACCAACTTGAAGTATATCATTGAAAACGTTAGGTTTATTTATTTATATATGGAATGTAGTTAAAGTTGCAAATGATCCATTTTACGGACTGTCACCTTAAATGTCAATATAAACAGGATTCGTTGTTATCTTTGATTCTATTCATTCATGTGTCAAACTTCATGTAAGTGTATATCTAGAATATAAAATCAACCCATCGGTAGCAGGAAATTATTACATCATAAGAAACACAAAAAAAGTCTTCTACAGGAAAAATGAAGGTGCAAAGTTATATTTACCACGGTAATAATAGGTAATTCAGGAAAAGTGATGGTGCAACGTTTACTAACCACGGTAATAATAGGTAATACAGGAAAAGTGATGGGCCAGCGTCATCTAACCACGGTAATAATAGTGAATACAGGAAAAGTGATGGACCAGCGTCTACTAACCACGGTTATAATACTGAATACAGGAAAAGTGATGGACCAGCGTCTACTAATCATGGTTATAATAGGTAATATAGGAAGAGTGATGGGCCAGCGTATACTAACCACGGATATAATAGGTAATAAAGGAAAAGTGATGGGCCAGCGTCTACTTACCACGGAAATAATAGGTAATACAGGAAAAGTGATGTTGCAACGTTTACTAACCACGGTAATAATAGTGAATACAGGAAAAGTGATGGATCAGCGTCTACTAACCACGGTTATAATACTGAATACAGGAAAAGTGATGGGCCAGCGTCTACTAACTACGGAAATAATAGGTCATATAGGAAAAGTGATGGGCCAGCGTCTACTAACTACGGTATTAATAGGTAATGCAGGAAAAGTGATGGTGCAACGTCTCTAACCACGGTAATAATACGTTATACAGGAAAAGTGACAGTGCCAAGTTTACTTACCACGGTAATAATAGTGAGACTGCGACGCTGAAGCCTGCCAGTACCAGTATTGCATAATATACGTAAATATTGTCAGTGATATACAGCTGGGACAGTAATGTCGGGATAAACAGCTGCAACAACATTAAAACATATGCATTTGAATAAAATAGAAAAAGCATATACATGTTACCCTAAATTTATCCATTTCAAAGAAGGTTGTTTTGGTGTTACATTTTTCGAGTTAAAAAATAGTTTGACGTTGCAGGGAAGTAAAACAAAGTAATGAGTAACTGCACTGTAAGGCTATTCCGTTAATATAGCAGACCCTCCCACCATTATACATGTTAATAATAAAAATGTACTCACAATTATACCAGCTGCATATGTTGATTTCTTACCAAATCTTACTAATATTTTCTGCCATATAGGAATAGAACAAATAGAAGTTGCCTGTCAACAGAAAAAATAAGCTTTAGAAATTAAACAAAAGATCTTAGAAGGAACATGGCGCCCACCATGAAATGATCTTGATCAGATCTACATAATATGATCTTTTACCGTGTTTGCTCTTCACTTTCCTTAAAGATATAAGTACCCAATCCCATGTTAGAAATCCTTAACCGGAATCTTGTACAAAACCATAACTTCGTTATGTCATATGTAATTTGTCACTTTGGCAAATGTTATTGTATAAGAATTGCATAAGCATGATGGCCATCTGTCGGCCGTTTTGTTTTACCAATCAAAGTAAACATGCACAACTAGAGTTTAAAAGGAACATGCATAATACATAGAGAAACATCTCTCCAGTACTTTCTGAAATATAGCGATAACAAACATTAAATGTCAATATCAAAGATTGCCGCATGTATACCATCTTGTTTATCTAAATAGTATCAAAGTTGACATGCACAACGATAGACGAAAGGAAACATACGTATCAAATTTGAGAAAGATCTCTCCAGTCTAGGAAATCGAGATAAATGTCAAAATCCAAGATGGCCGCCAGCCGGCTAGCTTGTCATAAGATCAGTCTTAAAATGATCATGCACAATTTAAGACCAAGGGGAACCTACATATAACATTTGAAAAAAGATCCTCAATATTTTCTGAGAGTAGCGATAACAAATCTCAACTGTCAAAATATGTCGGCCATTTTGTTTATCCTATCAGTCTCAAAAGTAAATATGCTAATCTAGGGGCCAGGAGGAAATTACATAAGAAATTTCAGAAAGATTCCTATGGTACTTTCTGGGAAATAACTACGGATCACAAAGGGCTAAAATAAACAAGGTAAATGTTGTTTTTCATACGGAACTGTAAATATTGTATAAATGAATCTGAGTTTTACAGACAATTCTATCTGCATATGATTAAATAGAACAGTTGATATTGTTCTCTCCGGACCCCATACTGGTATTTCCAAACCACCCATTACTCATGAGTGTTCCTCATGCCAGCCATGTAGCAGTGACAGCTCCCATGACCTTAAAGGTCAAACTCCCCGGCGAGCCATTTGTCAGTCTACGTGCTATCAGCACGGTCCCCCTCCCAGTGTCCAAGCATCGCATTATATCAATTGCATTCTCTAATCAACAAGGTATATGCAACAGATACCAAAGTATTACCCCCCNGCCCCCACCCCCTTCTTTTAAAAGTTTAAAAGACATGTGACCCACATTTGTTTTGTTTGGAACAAATAACAGTTTTCCAATTTCGTACTTTTGTATGGAGGCCCAGAGAGTTACAATAAAATCTAGTTTTCCAGTTTCGGTTTTTGAATTGATCCAAGAAGATAGATTCAAAAATAACTGTTTATTACGAACTAATAAAGAAGACAGACGTTTTATACATTAAAATGCTCAAAACTATTAATCCGGTGCAATTAGATATCCTGAGATATATGAGAAACTACGTACTGAAATCAAACAATATTCACCGTTCATGTCTCCCTCTCGTATCACTACATGTATAACTCGTATTAGTTTGGAGGCTTACTGATGTCCATATTGACTTACACTATTCATCCTATGCCGAGTCTGAGTCTTCAGAATAATTGGTCTTCCAAAGAACCGTGTTAAATATATTCAACAAATTTTCAGTTACCATGGTGCGGTTTTAGGCGAATAAAGTGTTCGACGTTAGGTTTTGAACCTCTTCAGTTTGGGGAAAACTTAAGTCAATGAGGCAGCTTACAATAAGATACATATTAGTTGGACTGAAGCTTAATACTCTCTGTTTTTTTATCATTAATCCATGTAGCGTCCTCGGTTGCGTATGTCTTTGAGTTTGTCCGGTAATTATAATAACTCTTTTAATTTCCGGATTAATCTTTTATGTGTTCTCTTCCCAAACTAAAGGCACTATCAAGGTACGAGCTTTGACATATACTGTGGTGCACAACAGTCATCCTTTAGTTCTCCAGTAAAGGTTAGGCATCCATCGAATTCAAATATAGTCTTATTTCACGCACTAACACAGCTACCATAGCACACAATCCACTCCAAACATTCATTGCGAATGTATATTGGTACAGCGGTGTATCTTCATAAAATCAGAACGGTAATTGCCATCCAGTGAAGGGTCCAAACTCGCTACAAAGTATCATGACACATATTTTGTCGAAGTATCTAAATTTCGTATGCCTAAAAGGTCAACAAATTTGCCATTGAAGAGCAATTCACATTTGAAGCCTAGCTGGGTACAGTGCATGTTTCTTGGCATCAGGTCGTCAGGTAATGACCGCATGTCGTAGACTTATGCATAAAGAATGGTAACAGTAGACCCTGTATCCCACAAAAGGTTCATAGGTTGCACAATCACAGTACTTTTACATACTTACCTTGACCGTTTTCTGAAAGCCTGGTTGCCCGGGGCAGAGTTGGTGTTTAATTCATCTTTTCACGTCAGCCAATATACTTTGAGCACTACCTCTGAGACTAAAGTCCAAAAACAGGGCCTTCTCGTCATCAGTCCATTAATCTATTTCCGCAAATATTTCGAACTGCACAAAATAGTCCTCCCAAGGTTCTCTGACGTCATAATAAGCCGGTTTATAATCAATGTTTTGGTTTAATGGACTGATGTTCCGCCAGCTAATGTTATCCATTTAATCCTCACAATCGATCCATAGTTGCTTGATTCACTCATAAACAGAAGGAACTGATGTTGAGGAAGGAGTTCTTACCGGTGCCTCTTTACCAATCCTTTGTCATTGCACGAGAGAGGCAATGTAAAATCCTCTTTCAGCCATTTTCATAACAACGTTAAATCGCAGTGGTCGTAATCCATATATGAACGGTGTTTAAATAGTCCACAGGTACATGCGTCGATAAAAAGGGAGGATTTAATTTGTACATCAGTATACTTCCTCCTTTTTTCATGGCATATACCTGCAAATAGTCCATATCTACTCCCTATTGTAAAGTGACCGGCATGACGCTTCCACAACACATCTAACATCAAAGTTCTATTTACAGTTTGTGCATCATACCATCATATTCCCTTCATCGTCAAAAATCACTTAGCTTACTATCCTCAGCTAAGATACCAGAGCCCTTTATACGTCTGTACTCCCTGTTCTCCCAAGCCCCCAAACAGGTCTCCCCTTATCAACCATTACTCAGTCAGCCCTGTAGCAGTGACAGCTCAAATGACATTTAAGGTCAAACCACGGCGAAGCAGTATGTCATTCTATCAGCACGCACCCCCCCCCCCCCCCCCCCCCCCCCCGTCTAGTGTCATATGCTGCACTTATCAACGCTCCCTATTAACCACCTTCTCTCTATAAGGTACATGATAATAGATACGATTTATACATAAAATTATCACAATATCGTTATACCTCATATTTTATCATATCATATCATAAAAGGGAAGTAATGATAATAACATCACAAAGTCTACACGGAAGACTAGAAAATGAACGGAAGAGATACCAAAAATAGTGGAAAGCTACCGTATACCCTTTAAAAATACAGGTAAAAAGCAGGTATTCCGGATACAAGGTTCTTAGCAAACAACATCGCAATCTAGGACTAACGTTTCCTACCAAATAGGTACAATGCACGGAGGATACTCACCAGGAGGATGACCATAAACGTGGTGAAATAGTCCCCCAAGTTAAGGGTATGAGTAGTAAACAGGGCGAGGTTCCCTTGTACTACCTGAAACAGGTTACACAAACAAGACAATGACCGTTTGTATTCCACTTTCAAACCAGATACGAATGTTTCTTAATATATATGCTGCTTTCTTCTATAGAAACATTTAAACAAAACTGTTATCGGTACTTGGATCAAATGCGAATGGTCCGATATGAACTACGACTACGTCAGTATTTCATTCCAAGATTTGTATAAATAATTCTGGAACATGTGAGCAGAGAACTACATATACAATCTTTATACACAAAACAAAAACATGTCATGGAAACTTGATTGAATTAACAGAAAACATGGCGTTAGTAATTCCGTCAGGCCGTTTTGTCTGAACAACGAATTCGTAATCATCTCATTATAACAATACGCTTTATATCAAACAAAAAACTGGTAGATCTGAAATTTTTCTTTAAATTGTTAATAATATTTCTTCCTATGTTTTGACGAAAAATGGATAGTCGACGATGCAGATAAACTAATTGATTTTGTTCTAATTTCAGTGCGATGACACTTGATGTCTTCATAATTCTTAATCCGACTTTAACTCAAACAAACAGGAAACAGAGCAATCAGACGTCTATGACCATTGACTGTTACATTGTATGGTTCAATCAAAATTATATCACTTTTGATATTTATAAATTTCTTTGCATGTTGATATTATCAAATATGAAAGCCAGTGTCATACTTACTGCTATAGCTAAAGAAATGAAAAGGAAGGCGAAGGACAGGCAGACATAGGATTTACAGCCTAGTACCAGTTTCAGTCCGGTACAGAAGCTCTCACTGTCATCCGTGGCTATACCTATGAGGACAATAGAGCACACGTAGACACCAATACAATATACCAAAATGTGACATTTGTTATAAGCTGTTATACCACTATTATGGTCGGTAACGTTTTATTCAAAATACATTAATGGACATATTCAATCATTTAACTGCTTTTAGATGCAGTTCATGGGCAATATGAATTTCCACTGCATCTCAGAAAAAAATGACACGAACTGCATTAAAAGCGGCTCATGATTTATTTGCCTGTAATGAAGTGGGCATTTACAATGACTATAAACTGCGTCTATAATAGACAGCTAGTCACAGCTTGTTTCTGTACTAACAACATTGACCTCTGGTATGGTCAGAGACAAGATCCATTGTGATTTCAAAAACCATCATTTCATTTCCGATTTAAGGTGATCGAGTATGGTAAGTTAAACAGAAATAAATATTATTGTTATGGTTTCATGTTGGATTAGATAACTTCTCGCCAAAACGAGAGTCAAACGTCTCTCCGTATAGATTATTATTATTCTCTTTATTTCCTCCTTTAAGAAGATTTTACAAACAAAGGAGGAATAAAATCAACAAAGGCTAAAAGCCCATACCAAACCTTGTTTTTCACGCGTCCCAAAAAACGTTGTTATTGAGCAAACCAGATATATCCCTATCATTACGGCGGACCCATATATGTAGGACAATTTCTGTGAAAACATAAAGATTTCATATTAATGATTGGAAATTAAAAAATAACTGCTTAAACAAAGAAGAGTGTTATTTTTCCTTAATCATCATGATTTGATCATTTGGCTTAACAAGCAGCACGAGACCGATAACATTGGATTGAATTCATCATTTTGATTGCACAACACTTGAGTTTCACGGCCGAATTTACAAAGTGTCAGAATAATTCGTAATTATGATCATGACGCAGAAAAAATGTATTAAATAATCGAGCGTTTAAAAGAAATCTTGTAACATCATTCCGGTGTCAACTAACTCACTTAATGACGTGCGTCACGCAACTATATATATATAACCTGTTAATAAAGTATGCGTGTTTCACGCATTTATAAAGTACGTACACCTTTTGGGACTAAAATAAAGCTTGCTAATTTACATTTACCGTTAAATCCAGCTGTGTTCCCCACATCTGTTAATATAGACTGAAAGGTGTCTATCCGACACCAGCAATGCCTCACTTTGGTGTTAACGCAAGGGACATTTAAAACTTTTCGTATCTGTTGGGAGGTTGTATTTAGATATTTTCCGTGACCCATACGATGGTGTGACCTTTCGATATTGGGGCTGATGAACCCACATTTTCCAAGTTGTTCTTGCTTTCCACACATTAATGACTTTAGGGCAAAACATGTAAAGAATTCCAGACAAGACTCTAAAAAGGTTAACCTGGTTCTCGAGTTGCGTTGGTGATGCAGTTGCCTTGTCGTCCTTACAATCACCTGCTATTCGGTATTCGTTAATAAGCTGTCCCTGCACTAGAGACGCAAGTAGCACACCAATGGCCTCAGAAACCATTCCTGAAACAAGGGACAAAATTAGAAATCTAGCAATGTCTCCCGAATAGTATTTAGAATGTTCGTAAACATATGATCTAAATGTATTTTGTTACAGATAAAACTCTTGGCCTATGAATATCACGTACCAAATAAGTGTAGAGGTTATATGATATGTTTCTATATGCCCCGGGTAAATAACTGGTGTTGAACACTACTTACTAAAATGAGTTATAGCACACTAATGTATGTATGTGACGAAATAAAGAATAGAAGGGGATGTTGAGTAATGGATTTGGATTTGAGCACCACATATTATAATGAAACAGGAAATGAAGAATATTTCCTGCATGTGTGCATCCCGGGATATGTCTATTGGAGTAAATGTTTACTGTAAGCTGGAGTAACAGGGTTATATGTTCTACAGTAAATACTTGCTGTAAGCTGGATAATACTTGATGCAAGCTGGAGTATACCGGGTTATGTGAACAGGAGTAAATATTTAATGCAACAAGGAGTATACCGGGTTATGTGGACAGGAGTAAATACTTGCTGTAACAAGGAGTATACCGGGTTATGTGAGCTGGAAAAATTCTTGGTGTAAGCTGGAGTATACTGGGTTATATGCTTGAGCATACCGAGTTATATGATGGAGTATACTGGGTTATATGCGGGAGAATACTGGGTTATATGCGGGAGTATATGGTTATATGCTGGAGAATACTTGGTTATATGCTGGAGTATACTAAGTTATATGCTTGAGTATACTGGGTTATATGCTAGAGTATACTGGGTTACATGCTTGAGCATACCGAGTTATATGCTGGAGTATTCTGGGTTACATGGTGGAGTATACCTGGTTATATGCGGGAGTATACTGAGTTATATGCTGAAGTATATTGGTCTATATTTTATACAATAAATAATTGCTGTAAGCTGCGGTATACAGGGTTATATGAGCTGGAGTAAGCTGCGGTATACAGGGTTATATGAGCTGGAGTAAATACTTGCTGTAAGCTTATATGCTTGAGCATACCGAGTTATATGCTGGAGTATACTGAGTTATATGCTGGAGTATACTGGGTTATATGCTGGAGTATATGGTTATATGCTGGAGAATACTGGGTTATATGCTGGAGAATACTGGGTTATATGCTGGAGTATACTGGGTTATATGCTGGAGTATACTGGGTTACATGCTGGAGTATACCTGGTTATATGCTGGAGTATACTGAGTTATATGCTGGAGTATACTGATTTATATGCTGGAGTATACTGGGTTATATGCTGGAGTATACCTGGTTGTATGCTGGAGTATACTGAGTTATATGCTGAAGTATACTGGGCTATATTTTATACAATAAATAATTGCTGTAAGCTGCGGTATACAGGGTTATATGAACTGGAGTAAATACTCTCTGTAAGCTGCGGTATACAGGGTTATATGAACTGGAGTAAATACTCTCTGTAAGCTGCGGTATACAGGGTTATATGAGCTGGAGTAAATACTTGCTGTAAGCTGCGGTATACAGGGTTATATGAGCTGGAGTAAATACTTGCTGTAAGCTGCGGTATACAGGGTTATATGAGCTGGAGTAAATACTTGCTGTAAGCTGCGGTATACAGGGTTATATGAGCTGGAGTAAATACTTGCTGTAAGCTGCGGTATACAGGGTTATATGAGCTGGAGTAAATACTTGCTGTAAGCTGCGGTATACAGGGTTATATGAGCTGGAGTAAATACTTGCTGTAAGCTGCGGTATACAGGGTTATATGAGCTGGAGTAAATACTTGCTGTATGCTGCGGTATACAGGGTTATATGAGCCGGAGTAAATACTCTCTGTAAGCTGTGGTATACAGGGTTATATGAACTGGAGTAAATACTTGCTGTAAGCTGCGGTATACAGGGATATATGAACTGGAGTAAATGCTTGCTGTAAGCTGCGGTATGCAGGGTTATATGAGCTGGAATAAATACTTGCTGTAAGCTGCGGTATACAGGGTTCTATGAGCTGGCATAAATACTTGCTGTAAGCTGAGTTATACAGGGTTATATGAGCGGGAGTAAATATTTGCTGTAGGCGGCGGTATACAGGGTTATATGAGCGGGAGTAAATATTTGCTGTAGGCGGCGGTATACAGGGTTATATGAACTGGAGTAAATACTCTCTGTAAGCTGCGGTATACAGGGTTATATGAGCTGAAGTAAATACTCTCTGTAAGCTGCGGTATACAGGGTTCTATGAGCTGGAATAAATACTTGCTGTAAGCTGAGGTATACAGGGTTATATGAGCTGGAGTAAATACTTGCTGTAAGCCGTAGCAGAGTCTCTCTCCTTCTGACTGCCAGTGATGTACATGGTAAGGGACGTGTATGGCACGTGGAGGCACTGCAAAGAAATGAAGACAGATATCAATATAGTTTTTCATATCATTTTATAAACCATTTATGAATCAATAAGTTTAAACTTAGACTTGCATGGTATTCCCAGGTGGGTAGTATCTTCATATTTTATTGCATCGGGAAATTATATACAGTTATGAAATCAAATGTTCTGTTTTTGAAGAGTGACTGTTACATATTTCCAATACAGATTCATACAAACAGTCCAATTATAGTGATAAAGTCAATAACAACATTATAACAAATAATTCTTACCGTCAAAAATCCTTGGAATAAGCAGTAGAAGACAAAATAATATGCCAGTTTGCCCTCGTCGCTGAAGTCAGGAACATACCACATAAAAAAGTAGGCAGCACATCCAAAAGGAGTAGAAAACAGTATCCTGTAATGAAACAATTCTTTTCGTGTATGAAAGTTGATAATGTAAAAAATGGGGAAGTCACGGGAAATAATAGCAAACGTCAGGAGAAATAGGAACAATATAACACTGATATAAAAAAAAATGCAGACGCATCATTACCTACCATGGGCGAAGCTTGCCGAATCTAGTGTTTGTGCGACTGACCAAGATTCCAATCATGGGATCGGTAACGGCGTCCCACGCCTTCCCGCTGAATACAATAACGGACACATACAGCGGAGGGATCTGAAAAATAGGTGAAAAGCATACAGGCACAGAATAGAAATCTGGAAAACATAACTCAATGGGAGCTGAATATAATGTTTGTACGAATGCGGTATATATTTCGTCGGGACAAATAAATACTGTAGACGATATATGATAGGATTGCAACGCATGTAAGAACGAACAATATACGACGGAGGAGATTAATGGAATCAAAACGTATGGTAGATATAGACAGCTATCACTACCCCGGTTCCCACTTGCAAGACGTGACATTGCCTAGATTCACATGACCTAGATTTACATGGTGCATGCCGTGGATGAAACAGAAGATGCTTACATTTCCTGATAACTTGGTCTTATTATCCTTGTAATATTTCAAGGGTTTCTATATGTAAAGTATTCCTTCGTTCATATTTTGCAAGTTCTATCGATTTTGATTTCAAATCACGGCTTTAATGACATTAAGGTATTCTCTTTTCTATATTTTAAAATAAATCACAAAATATTTGAAGAACATATTGCGAGAAAATATTTAACCAGTTATATATGTTTAACGTTCACTCATGGTATACATAAACAGGGCATAGTGCTGATGTTTTTACCTCTTTAACAACATCAAGTTATGAAATGCGAAGGATATATCGGGCGTTGTAACAATGACAAGAACGTTATACTCAACTACAACGTTCAGGGAAAGATACTTCCGAAATGATGTTTCAAAGGTGTTTTATAGATGTGCCGGAGGACACTACGAATGATTTTTGTTATCTATAATGCCAAATTCAAATGTATTTTTCTAGTTGATTTTATATATATTCGTTATTAGGGTCCTGGTAACTTAGGACAGTATCATTAGCAAGTTCTCCTGAAGGGTACGAGTTCTTTGACCACATGTGACCCCCGCCATGATATCTCCTGTTAAGTCTAGAAAATAAAATAAATGTCAGTAATGATTTAAAACACCTTTCACAAACGATACACACTGAGAATTCATAGTAGAAAATCAGGTGATGATGACGACCATAAATATTTATTCGTTGTAGTGTAAAACCTCTACTGTAGAAAACCTTGTGTAAGTAGTTCATTGATAACGAGATATATAGTTCATAAAATCATGATGCCTCATAATAGGTGCTGGAGTAAGGAATCACCTGACATATAAACCTTAAACTAGCTAGTATATCAATGATTTCAGAGGTTACTCAATATTGTTCTGCTTGAGGCAAATGTCAGTATATGAATCTAAAGAAAAGGGGCCTGATTTATCTTTAATTTGCAGTTCTGAACGAAGAGTGATGCAAGCATAGTTATTTTTTTTATCATATATACATAATGACAAAAATAAGAAATAACGATTTGCTAAAAGTAGTGGACAGTTTTTCCTGTATGGAAACAACACAGTCACCGATTAACGAGTGGAAGTGATGTTGTGCTAGAATGTGTTTCATATGTGTTTTCCCCCCTCTATAGTGTTACTTTAACGATTTGCTTAGCATGGCGAATGGTCGTCAGAACTGGATATAACACATATTGCCCTATGATAGAGTGCAAACTGTATATTTAGGTTAGTTACATGTAGTACTCTTCGTGCTGGGTTGTACCTGGGGTCATCCTCAGATATTTCCATTACTGTATCTATTAACAAATAGTTAAAGGCGCATCTCCCTATCTCTGTGTCAGAGTTATACACTACCATCCCACTTGTGTCTAAAATACCGATTTCTGATTTAGGTAAACAAGCATGTTATGAACAAATGTAATGATTTTTAAGTTAAAAAAACCCCAAGTGTGACAAATGTAGATTGTGACAGGTGGTGATACACAGCTGAATTGAATATACGGATACAGGTGTGTTCTATAACGGCTTCATTAAAATAGCATGGCGTATTCCAGAGGGCCTGTATCGCTCACTATGATAATAAAGTAACCATGGAAAATTACTCTTATTACGTATAATACTGCAACTATTTCCGAATATACTCTGTCTGTCAGCAACATCTGTCCCTCATTAGGCTCCTTCTTTCTGTCCCTATGAAATGGGGTGGATTTAAACATAACCCTGAATTTCCCCTAGTGGGCCCGCCCCTCTACCCCTAAATATAACCTTCTGTTTATACAAAATTTGTCAAAGGATGCTCTACACAAAATTTGGTTAAAATCCCTCCAAATAAACTGAAGAAAAAAGATTTCAAACATTTATTACTATGTACATGTTCCCCCCACTGGACCCTTACCCTTTGCTTCCAGGGGTACCACATTCTGTTAAAACAAATTGAGTTCCCCTTGGCAAATGATGCTCTTGACCTAATTTGGTTAACAGAACTCAAATCATACTGAAGGAGAAGGATTTTATAGATTTAAACTTCAAATTTCTTTTTGGGCCCTGCCTCTCTGTACCCAAAGGATGCTTCAGGCCAAATTAGGTTAAAATCCCTCCAAAAGTGAAGAAGAAAAAGGATTTTAAAGACTTAAACCCCGAATTCCCCTCTGCACCTAGAGGACCGCATTTTTCGTTTATACAAAATTCAGCCCCCTTTGCCCAAGGATGCTCCAGGCTTAATTTGGATAAAATCCTTCCAATGTTACAGAAAAAGAAGGATTTTGAAGACTTAAACCTCGAATTCCCCTTTTGGGCCCGCCCCTCTGCACCCAGAGGGGCCACAACCTCCGTTTATACAAAAATAAGGCCCGTTTGCCAAAAGTTGCTCCAGGCCAATACACTCCCTCTCATAGTACAGAAGAAGGATCTTATAGATTTAAACCTGAAATTCGCTTATAGGGCCCGCCCCTCCTCACCCAGAGGAGCCACACCCTTCGTTTATACCAAATTCAGTCCCCTTTGCCCAAGGATGCTCCAGACCAAATTTAGTCTATATCCATTAAGGTTTTCAGGACTAGTAGTGTTTTAAAGAAAAGGTTGACGGACGGTTGACGGACGGACGACGGACGGACAACGGACGCCGCGGTATGGCATGAGCTCACAATGCCTCTTCGGACCAGGTGAGCTAATGAAAGGATACTAATTTATGTTTCTGTATTCTCATGAAAGGATTTCAATAACTCTTCTAGCAAAGCAGCAATCGTATTTATTAACGTCCAGTAGGTGCTGTAAAGCTTCTACCTTACTAGAAATGTAAGGTTATTATATACAAGCACACAGTGTACATTTCACAATAGTGAGCAAGGAAAATTCAAAACTTCATTTTAACGGTGATAGATTTCTAGACATTGAATATGCTTCAAGATGTCCCCTGAACAAAACAAGTGATAGATTTTTGTTCTTTTCAAGCAAACAGGATGAAAATATGTTATTTCATGTAAAAGTAATAAGTGTGAGAAATATTGCGGCATGTGTTGATATATGAATGACAAAGTAGCTTTCTACTCGGAAGGTATGGACCATGGTGTTTTTATTTGAGCCTAGTGTGAACACAAGGAAATTCAAGGTCAATTTTAAATCTCATGTGTGACATTGACAGACTTCGATGGCAAGCCAAGTTGTCATTTATTCATGAAGCAATGTTGATCCAGTACTTAACCAAATTGTATAAGATATACTTTATAAGATATCTTATATACTTTATAAGATATCTTATATGCTTAATAAGATAATAAATGAGATATCTTTTATACTTTATAAGATATTTAATAAAAGATATAAGATGTCTTATATATTATATAAGGTATCTCATAAAAGATATAAGATATCTTATAAAAAAATGAGATATCTTATATATTATATAAGATATACCATAAACAATATTAAATGAGATATCTTATATAATTCGGTAATAAGATATCTTATAAAGAACAAAATTTGAATTTGAGATAATAAACCCTCCCCCACAGCGCTCGGAACCTATCAATAACCGAGAGAGTTCGAGAGGGTTTGAGCGAAAATGGAGCAATGTTGATCAAGTACTTTACCAAATTATCACCAGCGAAAACGGATGTGACCTTACAACGGGAGCAGTCATTTTCAAACATTTCTTCTTTGTCGGTCTCGCGAGAGTCTCGTCCTTTATAAGATATCTCATAAACTTTTCTTTTAAAGATATCTTATATATTATATAAGATATTCTATATCTTTTATGAGATATCTTATATAATAAATAAGATATCTTATAAAGAAAAGTTTATGAGATATCATATATTTCATAAGATATCTTATATATTATATAAGATATATAATATCTTTTATAAGATATCTCATAAAGTATATAAGATATCTTATAAAAGATATGGCAGACGACACTACTTGTAATTTATAAATCCAGGTGTTCTATAAATGTTGCACACGTAAATGCGTTATGGTGTATTCTAACTATAAAGATAAGTTTTAAAATTATGTTTCTGTATTTTCATGGACGGATAATAATCGGGTTTTTTTCAAAACATAAATTGCCGTTTATAACAATAAAAAATATCATCATTAATGGTGATGCAAGCATATGTTGATACCGGAAACGTTTACCGAGAATTATCAACAGTTTTATACAGTTCCGGTCTTTATTGGACCATAGTGAGCAAAAAAGTGTGAATGCATAGTGCAAAATCTCCTAAGGAACATAAGCAGATCGCCACACTGAAAAATATCAGTCTGAACAAAATAAGTGATTTATTTTGTCATATTTTGGCGAGTTAAAATCCTTACGACGAATCAGTTTGTTTGATGAGGTTACTAAAAGAAGCACTAACAATGGTTTAACTAGTAACTGAAGACGTTGTGCCAAAATACCTACCTTTGCCACCTCCAGGAGAAAGATGCTGAGGAAAAAATTGATGACAGTGTTGGTCATTTGGTATGGTGCCCCGCCGATAGCGAAGCAAACTTTCCTCCAGACTGGAAGTCGGTCTTCATCTTTGATTTCTTCCACATCTATTACGAGAGACTGCTTCTCCTCCCCGACATCCTATATGACCAAATACACTTAACTTCGTCAAGGGTAACACATTCTTTAATTCATACTGAGCCACAACTCCAATTGATAATAAAGGTCAAGGAATTCTGGAAAGGTATCTGAAACAGTAACGATATTAGGGATCCCCGTACCACTACCAAAAAATGTGACTCAATGTTCGAAACCTTTTTTCCCGGCATGGCAAACTAAAATGTAATCAGCAAACTGTGTTTTGAGTGTAAAAATACAGTGGGGTTAGACCGGGATTCGAACTCTCGAATTTAGATTGTGATAGAATCGCTCTAATTAATTAATCTACCTGGTCAACAGATGTTTTTTGGCCCAATTTATTTCTACAATTATATCCAAATGGAACTTAAGGGAAGGTTACTGTATATAGAAATACAACAGGCCATGGGATAGGGATCCTTATGAAGGTAATTGGTCGCCGTGAATGAGATGCAGTAGGACATTATTTCCTGGATTGTATATCTATTATCTTCGTATGTCTAGCTATCATGTTACACCACAAGTAGCTAACTCTGTTGGTGGACTATCAAACCCCGGGGTTGATCGTAGCCTTGTATCTAGAATTATTTCTGTCGTAGTTAAAAAGAGAAACTTATTTAAGAATAAATTGCTTATTACAGCCACAGATTATAAACTGTAACGTTATAAAGGGTTTACTGGAACCTTAACCCTTTTTCTATTTTCACATATTTTGGAGAACTTCAGACATGGATTTTCATTATTTTGAACTTAAGCACCACTGGTGATTCCATTATGGTCTTCAGTGGTGAAAGGGTTGAAATTTTGAATAATATCTTTTTTACTTCGTTTTTCTAGTGTATTCCACAGAACTGCCCGTGAACATATGGTACGTGGAATGATGAAATTATACGAAGTATAACTAGCGAGATGTAAAGAATAAAGAAACAAACCGGACGTATACAAAAGATAATTATACTCACAATTTTGAAACAATGCATCATGGTATTTCCTTAAAAAACAAAATATCGCTGGGGTCTCAGCCGTACTATTATTGATGAAGTTTTAAAACAATAGAGTGAAATGACGCTTCAAGATGTTGTCCTATGTCCTCATAAAATATTTCCCAATCAATATTCAAAATATCTCTAGCCATTGATACGTTATGGAAATGTACATGTTACGACCGCAGGTCAATAATAAATCTCTCATTTAAAATGTTAATACTTGTACCCGTTTGATATATATTCCATTTGACACATGATACAGCAAATCTATATATAATAGGATGTACAGACACGACAGAACAGCATACTGTAACGTTACTTATTTTAGCGGCCACACATTTTAGCGGAATATCTTATCATAACAGATAAGTCCATTGATGTATTATTGCACTCACAATATATGCAATAGATAACCCGTGTATAGAAATTTCAATCACCGCAATTATAAATTACCGAAATGTTTAAAAGCGCGAAAAACGCTGAATACGACTACCGCTTAAGCATGTACGTTTACTGCAGTAACATGGCAGGTGATACAGTAAGACGGTCATTACTATTTCATAAGTATGTATCAATAACAACCATTATAAATAACAAGTAAGGAAACACCTATTTCAAAATGGAGTTTGTCGATAAAGAGAGTCAAATAAAGTAAACATGTATTGCACCGTATGACCATTCCGTCTATTTATGACTAAAGAGTGGTATGATAAGGTTCAAAGATGACAACCGTTTCTAATGTGTTCGGAAACATATAAAGAAAGACAGTAAAGGTGCCATTGTTATGTATCACATCCAGTTAAGTATTTATGTGTGACGTTTTGATGACTAGTACGGTACGTTCCCTTGCCTGTCACCTTCATCAATTTGTTTGTTTGTCTGTTTGTTTATGTTTAACGGCCCATCGACGGCTGTGGTCATTTAGGGCCATGGTGATTTATTTATTTATCTTATTTTTTAACAAGCATGTGAATAGCGAAGATAAAATCAGATAAAATGCTTATTTTAAAAGCATTCGCATTGTATGTGTAGATAATAAAAAATAAAAAGGGGGTTAAAATAATAAAACAGATAACGAATAGATGATATGGAATATGTGATATATATATAACGTCAAAAAGGGTAAGGTGGGTTAAAAGATATATCAGCCTCTATAAAATAGACCGGATGTCAGACAAATGACCAGTGAAGCGTATGTATAATCAAATGCCGTTTCGGATACGCTATAAGCGTATGTATAATAAGTTGTTATACATGTAAGAAATGACTCGTCAAACTGACAATTCCATTTCCGCAATGCTTTGTTTAATACGTCATGAAATGTGTGAGAGCCTATGAGTTATGTTTTTTCATAGATTAAAGTATGCACTTAATACTGCGTTGCCAAGACATCATCAAAATACGTATATATAGTATTATGTGCACATACATGTTGCTATCCAGTTACTTGTATCATCAATCGATTTATCACTATGTTTATGTCGAGGTCGAGTTTATCGAGCTTTAGACCATTGCGATTCCAGAATCTCATTGATCACAGCTGCTGGTATTTCTCTGCTACGCGACTTGGTGCCGGAGGTTGTGAGGTCGAGGTCTGAACAAGGCACGAGTTATAGAATTATCTCCCTTCGTCAGTTGCATTTCTATGTTATAAAGTATATCCAATTATATACACACAATGTACCATATACGCTATAGAGTGTGCTGACCCGAAGCTTTCAGATATAACTTACCTGTCGTAAAATTTATATTGTGGACATAGATTATCGTTTGATTTCCTGATAACTACAACAAACATGTCTATATAATATCTTTGTATAAACACAATATAAGCATTACCTTGTTCCGGTGTCGATTCATGATCACGTCATATTGTCTACCTGTCTGTCACCCCTAATAAATGATAATAGCCATTATCATGGGACAACAGCAAGGTCCAGCGATATCACGTGCTCCAGCATAACTTCCGTTACCGTCAGATTACTCATAGGTTTGGTGATAACGACGATTGTCACAAAGATATAGAATATAGGTACTGTAGACTTACATGTAAAAAATCAAAATGGAGTGCAATGTATGATATAACTATGAAATACTCACGCAACGATGAATTATCACATTAAAAATTGAATTTGAGGGAATCTTTTATTAAAACTGTTGATGTAAACGTGATGTCGATAAGTTATACTAAGTGCAAGTCATAAAGAGATTAGAAAATGACCAAAGGTTACTTCATTGGTCGTCATACTGATACGTTCGAATAAAATGCCGTGCATTAATAAAATTATTTCTTAATTTATTTCATGGGTTGCATAGCAAAATATTTAGATTGGCAATATAAGCTGAAAACCCCAATATGTTGTGCATGCTTATAAATCCGAATTTACAAAGGTTATTTAAAAATTGAGAAAAGATACTTCAATCAAAGATACCCTAATCAATTTATTTGTTACTGATCTTAAAGTTTTATAGACACTTTTCCCTTTTCGCTGTATTCCACATATGTTCCGAAACACTTTAAACTTGAATGTTTGACTCATTTGACCTTGAATAGCACTGAAGATTCCTACATGGATGATACCGACATACGGTGCAGTAAAATGCTTACTTTCTGCTTCAACATACATTTTGTTTGACATTTGTTTCTTTTTCCCGTATTGTTACTGATTACAATATCGTTCAGGAATATCGGTGATATTTTGTTTTTGAATAACATGAATTTCGAAAACTACTCGCATCTCTTCAATAAGATTCATCAGTTTGGAAAAATGTAATATCAAAGTTTTACTTTCTTCACAACGATGTACGTATCAAATGTGTCGCAACGTTTCAAGACCGACAAGTCCCTTTGTCAAGCTATGACAGAGCATCTAATTTTGCTCCGGACTTTCAAAAATTATTTGCATCAAAACCCCATTTCTTACGCTTCCTATGGTGACATTTACCCTGCAGCATGACAATGACTGTCCCCTCTCTATCAAACCTAAGCATAAACGTTACGATCTACGACCAATACAGCACAGTGTCTATCGTGATAGAGACTCCAAAACGTGTGCCACCATCTTCGAATGTGTTCCGCTCTCGACATGTTGTTGCAGAGTAGCTATAGATTGATGTATCGACCGCGGCACACTTGGAGTTCGGAGACGCTTTCCCTTTCGGAGAACATGGTTGCGCTATTTGGGTCAATATATATGATGCCTTTCTTTTTTGTTAAAGTCTCTGTTAATAGTTGTTCAAGTTCTGATTTTGCTTTTTGTTATACCAGTACTGATTTGTTTTTACTTCATCCTTCATGCTTATCTTCAGTTCGTATGTTTATAAAGGATAATTTTTAACATTCTCTTGATATCTCTATGAGTCTTTCTTAACTCCGCCCGGAAGAAAAATCTAATATTTTAATCATGTTTGAGTTTTTGTCTAAAATTTAACATTCTAATTGAAAAAACTCACCAATTTAAGTGGACAATTCTATTAAGAAAACGGTAAATGAAAAGCTTCCCTCGAGCTCAACGACTCTAATGGAAGAACAACAGTAATCAGTCAATTTGATCATTTAGTAGTAATCATTTCCGTGCTTCCAATTACTTCACGCATATAAGCAACTACAGTACTTGTATTGAAATAAGGACTTATCTTCCTTTAGACACAAAAACAAACTATTAAAAAAATATAATATTGAACATTGCTTGGATATCAATCAATACGATGAAAATCGCTTATGGTATAAACTGTACTTATCCACTGAAGGCGAAAGATTGTCATGCTTCCGGTATTGTTTACACTATAACTAATATTTACTCACATTTCGTCCATGTCCTTGTATAACTTCCATTTCCTGTTGTTTTCGTATTGACGGGATTTTCACCTGTTTTTGTCATATTGTATATATAATTTCCATTTCCTGTTGTTTTCACATTGACTGGTTTAGTTTAAACATATTTATTGCCAAAATTAGACAAGGGATTAGGCACAACTTATCAACGCCTTCTCCCAATATACATTTTAAATGACATTACAATAATGACAATGAATATATACAATTGTTATTACAATTTGAACTCAAAATCTCTTGCTGGATTTAATAAAGTTTTGCACAGATCTAAAAATGTTTGAGTTAAGGTCCACGGAAAATTGTGAATTGCCAAAAAAAAAACACCCTAAAAACGCAAAATTCAAATCAATCAAATTTTGAACCAAAATACGTCTTTCGTTTGACTGGTACTTCTTCAATGTCTGTGACACGTGAAAGTTTTTGCCATGTTGCATTTCAGCTTTCATGATGTGTACCCGCATTCAGATTAAATGTGCCAATGGATGGTTGAATTTGCTGCAACGTTGCATTTACGTTTTCATTTTGTACGTCCAACCGGACTATTGAGATTGCGTCCGTGTTTCTGAATGGTTGAGGTTTTTGTCGTGTTTATTTTTCTTTTTTTGCTGTATATCTTTCAGATTTGTTATAATTTATGCCGCGATTTATTGCTATTTTCCTGGTGAATTTGTCACCATGACCGAAATTTTGTTTTGTTAAATTTTTCCATTTTCCTGTCATGATTCCATATCTTCCATACCTCTTTTTGTTTTTACCAGGTTGTATTTCCATTTTCGTGTTGTGTGTCTGTATTGACAGGCATTTACTCTATCTTTGGTCTGTTGACGTCACTGCCATTTTTTCTACATTGACCATTCGGATTTCCTTTATGATCCCAAGAGGTTGACTTTACTGTCATGATGTATTCATAAACTCCTGTTTTATTTCTGAATTGACTTCTTCCATATCTTTTTCTGGTTGAGGTTTCTGCTACGTTGTATTTCCTTTTTTCCAAATGTGTATTGTATCTGCAATCTGTTGAGGTCTTATTTCTTATTTCATGTTTCCTATTTCTCCGGCCTGTTGAGGTCTCATTTCATGTTTCCTGTTTCTTCAGTCTGTTGAGGTCTCATTTCTTATTTCATGTTTCCTGTTTCTTCAGTCTCCGGCCTGTTGAGGTCTCATTTCTTATTTCTTGTTTTCTATTTCTTCAGTCTGTTGAGGTCTCATTTTTTATTTCATGTTTCCTATTTCTTCAGTCTCCGGCCTGTTGAGGTCTCATTTCTTATTTCTATTTCCTGTTTCCTGTTTCTTCAGTCTTTTGATGTCTTATTTTTTATTTCATGTTTCCTATTTCTTCAGTCTGTTGAGGCCTAATTTCTTATTTCAAGTTTCCTGTTTCTTCAGTCTCCGGCCTGTTGATGTCTCATTTCTTGTTTCCTGTATCTTCAGTATTCGGTCTGTTGAGGTTTCATTTCTTATTTCTTATGTCCTATTTCCTCAGTCTGTGGAGTTCTCATTTTGTATTTCATGTTTCCTGTTTCCTCAGTCTCCGGCCTGTTGAGGTCCCATTTGTTATTTCATGGTCCTGTCTTGATCTCTTCTCTCTTAGGTCTGTTGAGGTATCATTTTTTATTTCATTGGTCCTGTCTCTTCTTTCTTAGGTCTGTTGATGTATCATTTCTTATTTCATGTTTCCTATTTCTCCGGCCTGTTGAGGTCTCATTTTTTTTATTTCATGTTTCCTGTTTCTTCAGTCTTCGGCCTGTTGAGGTCTCATTTCTTATTTCATGTTTCCTGTTTCTTATTTCTCCGGCCTGTGGAGGTCTCATTTATTATTTCATGTTTCCTGTTTCTTCTCTCTTAGGTCTGTTGAGGTCTCATGATCATTTTGAATTTCATGTGTCCTGTTTCTTCTCTCTTCGGTCTGTTGAGGGCTCATTTTGTATTTCACGTGTCCTGTTTCCTCAGTCTGTTGATTTGATTTTTTTAATTTCATGTTTTCTTTTTTTCAGTCTCCGGCCTGTTGAGGTCTCATTTCTTATTTCTTATGTCCTGTTTCTTCAGTCTGTTGAGGTCTCATTTTTTTAATTTCATGTTTACTTTTTCTTTAGTCTCCGGTCTGTAGAGGTCTCGTTTCTTATTTCATTTGCCCCGTCTCCTCTCTCTTCCGTCTGTTGAAGTCTCATTGGTCCTGTTTCTTCTCTCTTCAGTCTGTTGAGGTCTCATTTTATATTACATGTTTCCTATTTCTCCGGCCTGTTAACGTCTCATTTTTTATTTCATGTTTTCTGTTCCTTCAGTCTCCGCCCTGTTGAGGTCTCATTTCTTATTCCATGTGTCCTGTCTCTTCTCTCTTCCGTCTGTTGAGGTCTCATTTCTTAGTTCATGTTTCTTATTTCTCCGGCCTGTGGAGGTCTCATTTTTTATTTCAAGTTTCCTGTTTCTTCTCTCTTAGGTCTGTTGAGGTCTCATTTTGTGTTTCATGTGTCCTGTTTCTTCTCTCTTCGGTCAGTTGAGGTCTCATTTTGAACTTCATGTGTCCTGTTTCTTCTCTCTTCGGTCAGTTGAGGTCTCATTTTGTATTTCATGTGTCCTGTTTCTTCTCTCTTAGGTCTGTTGAGGTCTCATGATCATTTTGTATTTCATGTGTCCTGTTTCTTCTCTCTTCGGTCAGTTGAGGTCTCATTTTGTATTTCATGTGTCCGGTTTCTTCTCTCTTCGGTCTGTTGAGGGCTCATATTGTATTTCACGTGTCCTGTTTCCTCTGTCTGTTGATTTGATTTTTTTTTTATTTCATGTTTCCTTTTTTTCAGTCTCCGGCCTGTTGAGGTCTCATTTCTTATTTCATGTGTCCTGTTTCTTCAGTTTGTTGAGGTCTCATTTTTTATTTCATGTTGACTTTTTCTTCAGTCTCCGCCCTGTTGAGGTCTCATTTCTTATTTCATGTGTCCTGTCTCTTCTCTCTTCTGTCTGTTGAAGATTTTTTGTGGTCTTAACTGGATGTTTAAGGGTGTTTTTTGGGTGTTTTGGGGTGTTTTGGTGTCTTTTTTGGGGGGTAAATCGTGCCACTCTCTCATTTGTTATTTAATTGGTCCTGTTTCTCTGATGAAGTCTCATTTCTTATTTCAGGTTTCCTGTTTCTCTATATTCTGCCTGTTGAGGTCCCATTTCTGAGTTCAGGGTTTTCCGTGCTAGTATTTTTATGTAACTATTTTTACATTGTTTACTTCTCCATGTCTGGTTAAAAGGAGTAAACATTTGGTTAAATTTTAATGTATTTATTTTGTGAATCTATTAAAAACATTGGCATCAATACTTAAGAAAATAGTTAGCTAGTGTGCTAGGTTTTTAGCATTTTTTCACAGTGACTTTCCAAGCACCTGCCAAATCAATGGCATAAACGACCGACATTGAACAGAAACAGTTACGTACTCGATCTAGCACTATGTACATGTAGTAAACAGTAATTATATGTATGCAAGAAAAAACTTTAAACACAAACAATTTTTACAGGCTGTATTCGCTGTATTTCTGCAGTTTTGACAGGTTTCAAATTGTACACTAACATTTGTGTCATAGTATTGATGAATCAAACCAATCACACCAGTGAAAATTCTTTCAACAAAAATAAATAATCACATCTTCATAAAGCATTATATTGTATAATTGCATATATTATGCTGTACAAACTTCTATTATTATTGAATGAACTAAGCAGAGTCAGTCCCTTTGGGGTCAAAGGCATAATAAGTACATGTATTTGTCACATTAGTTATTAAACATGAGCATAAAAATAACTAATATTTGTATGGACAGAAATATCTAAAGGCTTGATATAATCTATTTTTATCTCTCTAGATAATGACTAATTATCTAACATATTGTCAAAGCATAACGTTGTAGACTTGATCCAAATGTTATAAATCTTTAAGAGTTTTTTCATTGTCCCTCAAATGTCAATATGACGTTCTTGTTAGTAAGGACCACATATCATCCCAAAGTATATTACGGTACTTTATAAACAGTCATTTACCTACAAGTACAACACCTAAGATATTCCAAATAGTGACATTAACACCTATATTTCTTATAGCAATGGTTTCTGCAGATAGGTTAATATGATTGCAATACTGTCTCATGAAATAAAATGTCTATGGATTAAACTGGTATGATACTTATTGAAACATACCTGGGTCACATACGTTGTATATAAATCTAGTGATGACTAGGGCGAAACAAATACTTAATAAAACACAATTACATTACATGTAATACACACTAATTCAACAAAACTCTATAATCATCACTATTTCAAATGAATGGCTTCATCTTATTACACTAATCAGTACTTGGACGGAATCAAGAATGAAAAACGGAAAAACAACTATGATAAGCCAAGCATTTCCTTCTTTATATCTATTGGTTGATAATAACCTATTCACACTAAAGAATAATTTTGTCTTGAATTAATTATTCCTATTCACCACAAACATATGTACTTGGATTCAGCACATCGCCTCTGGTATGTTCTGCATGCAAGGAATGAGAGGCACTCATTGGGGAATGAATACACAGAGGTAGTGTCACAACACCTGATACAGTGGCAGCTACTATGAATATCAAATCTTATAAGGCAAGGTGACCTTGAAAGACATAATATATAATTATTCAACAAAACTTAGACCCTATATAAACAATGTTCATGATGTTTCACGACAGTCTAAGATCATCCTCCTAAACTTTTGAGCAGATGTAGGTCGCTGAGATTTGGCTGATGAAGGTGGTGTTGGAAGCATATTTGCATCGGGAGACAAGTCTGTAATGTTACCCGAGGCCATATCTACTGACACGAGTTTGGCTCGCGCAGGACTCAAATCTCTATGTCTCGACTTCACTCTACCTCCAGCACTTTTAGCAGAACTTTCTCGAGAATCTGAACTGTAATTTTTTTCATTAGGCGCACTATTATCACCTCTATCTGTAACACTGTCGGTCATTCTTATAGAATGTGAGGCTTTCATTGGTCCTTGTCTGCTCCCTAGGGAAGTCTCTGGTTTCTTAATAGCACTATATACTCCATCTCTAGTCATAAGGTGTGACTGATCAGTTCTAGTTCCTTTGGGGCTGTTGGGACTCCCTTGACCTCGAGGTACAGTAACACCAACAGCAAGAGACCTTGCATCCTGAGCTATAGGCTGGGGCCTCCTGTCAAAAAGCCAGAAATACATCAATCACTTAGCATAATAAACTGCATAACTAAAACTTTTAAAAATCAGTGTTGAAATTAGTTTTTATGCTGAGAGGTTGATTTCTATTGTACCCTATTGCATAATTTCCAACTTAAACAAACACATAATTTAGATATCAAAGCAAATTAAACACTTAAAACAAAAATAAATTTGATGTACAAACCTAACACTTTGTGGTGCAAATGGAGCCTTGACTTGCGGAGGTTTCTTTGGAATTCCATCAACCAACAACGATTTCTCCATTTTGGAACGCTCTTGTTGTAAATCTGTGACATCAATATTTGGTATTGTACGCATTTAAAATACAATATGGAACATTGTGTATAAATTATATATAGGAGCCTTCACGCTACTTACATAAGAATCAGCATCATCATGACCAGAAACTTTATGCAAAGTACAAAATCCAGTAAACATATTGACCAATGATAAACTATTGTGTCAAACTTGGCTTGAGGGCACAAGTATACATCAGTGTGATCACATTATTTAGTCGTTATATCGGTTCATTTTATGTCTAGTAAATTGGAGCAAAACTAAATGCCTGTTTGGTTACAATTTGCAATGAGAAGTATCAACTAAGATTAAATTGTTAAGTCGACCATCAAAGGAATCAGTTGAGCCAAGAATAAGCCAGTTTAGCCTGTACCAAAAATATACTTGTTCACCTTTGACATCACCATGAAAATAAATGTTGTATATGTCGGCAAACTTTCGCCCCGTCAAATATTTTGCCCTTTGCACATAAAATCTATGTTCGCCTGGAGTTAATTTGGCCATTCACATGTTATTACTATATATTGTTTGTGGTTTACCAAGATTCCCTTAAATAATATATTTGCCCTCATTGGGACTGGCCAACAGTAAAACTGCAGCAAAACTTTTCCGGTATTGAAGAATATAGTTACAATATTCCAGTAAGAAGATATCAATCTGTGTTTTCCTAGTTTACATTTAAGTTTGAAAGAAAAATGGGTGTTTCAATTTCCAAATTCTAACAAACTCTGGAGGGGACCTCTGACCTGCTATGGTGGGTTCCCGGGAGAAGGTGCCCTTGACCTCTGCCCTATAGGTTGCCTCATCGTCAAGACAGTCCTGGAGAAACCTGATGTCCTTTAGCAACATACTAACCTCCTCCTCTAAGGTGGACCTGTAAACATCAGGCACTCTCTTTTAATACAACTATCAGAAATCCTAGTCTGTTAGTATATACCAGGATAGCCTTGACATTACAGTAGCTGAGTTATGTACAGACTGTTCCTGAACATTCTGTCCTTGTCCTTGGTGTTCTAACAAAAATCAATCCGGTAATAGTAAAATTTTTGTACTGTGAAATTTCTATGAATTTCACATCAATACAAAATCAGTGAAAAATATGCTCAAAAACAGATTGATCAGCTACTTATAACTACATACTGAATATTTTTTGACAACTATGTTATTGATATTGTAAAAATATAAAATCCTTCACTGTGAAAATTTCAGCAAATCAGTTCAAATATGCAAAAAAAACATAAGAGAAAAACAAACATGAGTAAAACTGTATCTACCTTAAATGTTGTACAACTTCATCAAAATGTAAAATGTTCAGTTTATCATTCATTGAATCTATTTCTTCACTCAGTGTAGATGCTGCAGAAATTCTGAAAGAAAACCAGAAATTCAAAAGATATACATGCGTTGATGGATATCATGGGATGATTATGCTATTAGCCAAAATATTATAGTCGTTGCTATAAAAAGTAATCTCATTATAATTAATTTTTATTCTTAGTCTTAAAAGAAGAGAAATCTTATTACATTGCTGTAAATATTTCGGTTAAAACATTCATTTTATATGACATTTAAATCCTTTATATTTTAAATGGAAACAACAACATAAATATTTTTTTAATTGTTATTTTCTTTGATTTTTGTTTTCCATTTATTAAAGATTCTGATATGCAATTTCTTTTTTCATATCATACCTCTATAAGGTGAAATACGATTATTTATTGGATATGGGTAATTACAATATCAAACAAATCATTTTTTTACTATTTAAAGATGAGAGAGGTAATTTCTTTGGAATGTTGTCAATCATTACAAGGTACCTGTCACTTCCTGTAGGTGTGGTAATCATTGGTGTTTCTGACCCATCCCTCGACATTGCAGTCCCAGGTCTGGACCTACAGCGGGACCCTGAACCTAAAAGTCATAGCAGGTCACAGGAGCGTAGAGTCAATGATAAATATCGGGTAATTAAAACATTATTAAACGGATTTAGTTATCATATGTTTAACAGGCTTCCAAAAATTTGTTCAATTAAAGAAAAACTAGTAAGATTTTTGTACACTGTTTATAATTCCTTGTACTTGAAACATCTGAGGAAAACTAACTTACGGGCAGTATCCATGGCATAGTCAATGATTTCTGTGTTGTGTTTGGCTTTAATAAACCTGTCGGGATTACTGGAGATTAAATAAAAACAAAATGTTAGTTAAAATGTAGTAACAAAAGCTATAAAAGTTATAACATAAACTTATATCATAAACACACTAAATTCAATTCACTGTAGCTGATCCGATACATAGCATTGGTAAAAAAATAACAAGACAGATACTCCCTGGTAAATAGTTACATTTCATATGATCTTCAACTTGTAATGGATACAACAACCTTCTAAAGTGAGGTTAGAGTACTCTGTAGCATTGTGAACACTAATTGACATCCTTATGAATTTGTAATACACTTATTAAGTCATCATTGCCCTGCAAACTCTCCTGGTGTCCGCTCTTGCAGCGAGAGCTTCACTTATCAGCCCAGAAATCTATAAGCAACAATGGCTCTTACACATTTCCTTGTATTTTATTTTATTTCTAATTACAACATTTTTTTATGAAAAATGACAGCAAGTTATAGTCTGAACACCCATAATTATCACAATAGGACAGGTAAAAAAGGTCAGTAAACCTACACTCCATTGTTTTTGGCCTTGTCCCGGATGTTTTCCACAAAGAAGTTAATTTCCTGTACAAGTCTGTCCCGTAGTCCTGGGGGCTCCGGAAGCTTCACACGTTGAGTACCATTTGTCTCATCTCTGTAGTCTCTCCATATTTCAAGTAATAAGTCAATCTGTAAATGCATTTTTTCAGATTAAATTCATGTATTCTAAAACATAGTTCTTGGCTTTTGTTGTAGAAATGCCTTGATAATTTGAATATGTTTCAGATCACAAAACATGTAAACGACAATATTTTTGATATCTTGGGAATTGTAAGAACGATAGACCTAACATGAGTACACTGTATACATATCATTGCTTCAATTAGCATTGAGTATGTATATTGCACTTCATGGTCAACAATTATTTCTCAAATAATGACTTTTTATCCCTTATTTTCATGCAGAAATGTCAACAGGTCACAAACTAATTTGCCATTAAAATAGAGATTATGTTATTTCATAGATTATTTCCTTATTTACCCTGTATCTAATATTTTAATCAAGTACTCTCAGGTTTAACCCTTTCACCCCTATGTTACTTGAGTAGACTCTACTGTGCATTGATATGGATGAGTCCATTATGGTCTACATTGGTGAAAGGGTTAAGAATAAACTTTAGATATGTGCATACCTCCTGGTGCAGCTCCAGGCTTTGGTCCACCATTGATTCCCCCAGCAGGTTTTTGATTTCGTCCTGTTCATGTTTGGGAACATGTTGTTCAACAAGCTGCCACAAGGAAATGGGTGGATTATAACCCTGGAGATCAAACGGTGGTTGATCCATCCTTAGCTATATGGCCATTCTACAAATCTGCAACAAAAAGCACATAAATAATGTCTGGATTTTTTTCTAATCACACAATTCATTATAAGTGTATATAAAAGATGATATACTTATTGCAAATTGGTTATCATCAATGATTGACACATTAATGACTATGTGCCCAGTTTCTGTGCCTGTCTATTTAAAGCACACACTGTTTATATACTGTGAAACCACTATGGTTAAAATTACGGAAATATATCAGGAAATAGATGTTGACAGAATATTTTTACTTTTAAATCTGCTACACTTTATGAAAGAAATGATTTGCATAGGATATATCTAGACATTTACTAAGAATAACTAAGGAACTTCACAAACTCTATACATGTAAGGATTTCATAATTTTGGATGTTTTGATAATTGCTTGTAGAACAGCCAGACAAACAAAACTAGATAGTTACCGATAAGTCACATCATTTTGGTAAACAGACAAGACGTTGTGGCATACAAAAACTACGTTAAAAAATATAGGCATTTGATGATATTCAAGTAAAGTACACGGACATGTTTTCATCTCAATTCCTGTAAGTACCTCAATGACATAAAAGAATTGTTAAAATTTGCTACCCAAATACTGACAATGTCAGCAGATTTGCAGTGAATGCTCAGAATGCACAAAAAAATCTTAGCATAGAAAATGGACATGCAAAGACTTTGGACCTTTAACTCTGTTTTAGAATGCTTATAAAAAATACCTACTGTATTTCCAGTGGTAAAGGGTTGTTTCGCCCTAAATCCTGTTCACCCTAAATGGTTTTTTTCCTTATTTATATACTAATATAATAATTAATATTTAAATATATCAAATAAACTTATTGATGACTTTCTACATTGGTGTTAGGTATATTTCATGTAGAGTATGTGAGAGCAGACTTTTCACAGCTGCCGTTTGTCAACACTTTTTTTATGAAATTGATTTTAATTTTGTGACTTAAAACTACTAAAATTGAAAGAAAATACCAAACAATGTTTCGCCCTCATATTTTTGTTTTAGGGCGAAACAACCTAGGGTGAACGGGATTTCAGGTGAAACAACACGGAACCATTTCCAGTAAACCTCTCCTGCTACACCTGCCTCCATCTATATTTATTTTGAGGAAAAGGAAAAGTGACAAGTCCACAAAATTTTAACCTGACATATGGCTGTAGGACATACCTGAAAGTATGGAAACCTGTATTCACTATGGCAGGGGCGTACAAATTTCAAGGCCATTACCTTGAAATTGGCAAGCATTTTAATATATAAATCTGCCTTGAGGCTGGTACTCAAAATATGAAGTAATACACCCCTACTCACTGCTTTGTAAAATATGTTATAAAAAATATTCAAGGATAGCCTATAGTTTATGTACCTACCCTATTTTTAAAAGACATTCGGGAAACAGATCGCAAGTAATCCTTTGCCTAACATTACAGTATAGTACTACTGACAGTAGATCTATTTAAAATTGTATACATACTATACTGTAGTAGACCTAGATGAAAACCACAATAGAATATATATCTCAATGTAGACGTACCTTAGTGGCTTACTATGGAAAACTCTGACTAAAATAATTCGTCCATATGTTCATTGATGCAAAGGTAACTTACTAGAAGCATACAGTAAGACCGTGGTTTTCACATGTTCGATACTTTCAGTAGGGAATCCCGGGGAAAACATGGTTTTTACAGGTTTAATACTTTCAATAGGGAATCCCGGGGCAAAACCTAATTAAGTTTGAGAGCCACAACTTTATTTTACCACACATTTTTATGCGACATGTATGCATATTATGCTGTTATATAACACGCTGTCTTTTCATAAATAACCACTTTTGTGAACTTAAACTGGAAGTGAAAATTGTTGTTGTCATAGTTGTTAGGGAAACCAAAGCAGACGATGTCAGGTTTCAGTGGCTGACCTAAAGCAAACAAGCATGTTAGACTCATTTCACGTAAATGCTTACATGGCAACCAAGTGTTGATTTTGTCATGAGATTTCCTCCATTCTATCTGCACATTCCAGTGAGCAAGTCTTAAATAAAACATCTAACGCTGGTGAAAGGTGAACGCCATCTTGAAATTCCTGTGTCAGACAAACAAAATGACCTCGTAAATATATTCTGATCATTCATCATCAATATCTAAATGAAAGACCGTATTGTATATATTACAAACGTATAAAACATATTATGAGTTAAAAATTAATGGTATATCTAAAATATATCAATATATTCCTCAAAAACGTACGATAGCAGAACAACAAACGGAATATTTTAATAGGTAGGAAATCCCCTAAACACCTGAAAGCACCTGTTGACGAACGACAACTCTTCCAATACAAGGTTGCACACCACAATTTGATAACAGCATAGAAGAATGATCAGTCTCTATATTTTTTCCCAGCTACAATGTATAACAAATTAAGTTAAGCAAGTTAGATATATTATCTTGTTTTGATTTACAATTATCTAAATTGTATATATTTTTTTCAAACTGTTATAAAAAGTTAACATGAAAAAGTGTATATATTTTTCAAACTGTTTTAGAAAGTTTAACATGGAAAAGTGAAATTTATCAACTGGTTTGTACTATATTTTGTAATTACCAGACACTGTATACCGTATCTAATTATGGTTTAGCGGCCACTGTTATACTTTTGTTTCAGATCTGATCTATCGGCTGTTTCTATTGTACTTATTCTGGATTTAATGCCTGGTGTGTGCATTCATATCAAAATAAAATTACAGTTGTAAAATAATGGTTGGAGGGGAAGGGATATTTAGAACTACCATGACAAAACAACATCTTTTACTCAGATTGCATATGAAAATGTAATCATTTTCGATATCTGAAGTTCATTAAACTTTTAATATTTGCCTAGATCACTTTTCTCATCTACAAATATTTCATTTTATCGTATGGGAGAAAAAGAACCCTCCTCAGTATTCAATGGTTACTTGAAAGCATTACTTGTACATCAATTTCATTCAAGAATAAAAAGAACTCCAGTGCTGACCGCTGCAATAATTGTGGGCCCATGGACTAGTTCACCTTCAGAGTCCTGGGCTGAAACTGACTGTGCCATTTTGCAATATTTCCTGTCAAAACTTTCATTTCAAATAAAAACAAGAAGACAAATAAAAAGTGTATAGATACTAGCCTTCTTCAATCATATTACCTTTTTGACATAGACCAGGGTGATCTGTCTGTATTCATACTCATTCACTCAGAACAGTTCTCAAACTCAAGTTATGTGCTCAAACCCTTTCTAAGTTGTAAGTCACTAAGTTCTTTTAAAAGGATAAAAAAACACTTTACTTGGGGATATATATTACTGGGGATATATATTACTTGGCTACATGGCAAGCCTAGGTACCCCCAAAAAAAATTAAAGTGTGCATTTATAAAAGGTACTTCCTCCCCAAAGTTAGAAAATAGGCTCAAGCACAGAATCTGAATTTGAGTATGAGAATGGTTTTTATCAGCAGGAATGAATGAATATTTTAAAATATATTTGAAAATAAATGAAAGTTCACCTCTTTATCTCCTAATATTGTATTTTTATTATAATCCCTTACACATACAAAGTGTATAAAATTGATAATGGGAACAATTGTCAGGTTTTTCCTTAACATTTAAAACGCTTGTCATATACATTTATGGTGGCATCCTAAACAAGTCTTAATGAAAAAGAAAACGAGAAGAAAGGATAAATCTTGGATTCTTTATTTGTCACGACCAATCTGTCACAGAACCAGATACAAACATATTTGTAGTTCTATAGGATACAAAGTGTCAAAAAAAAATCCCCTGAAAAATGTTAAAAGAATGTACTTCAGATCTCAGGAATGAAACTTGTAAGTAGGTATTGTATATTCTTTATTCTACACAATAATTTGCAGATGAAAATGACACATTATGTTCAGAACAGCATTGTTAAGGCACATTGCTTGATTAGATTCTACTTTCTACAATTTGATGCAAAAATTGCTTATTTAGATTAAAAAGGTTAACCTTTCACCCCTATGTAGCTTTAGTAGACGCCACCATGCTTTGTTCTGGACGAGTCCATTTTGGTCTGTAGTGTTGAAAGGGTTAAAGACAAAATGTAGGGATTAGGTAAATTACAGCAATTTCATCTCTAGAAATGGTTTCAAAAATCAAATACATATGTTTGATTAGTACAGCGTGAATTCAAATGGAATGTATTCATTAAATATTATTTCAGTGATTAGTCCTTGCTTTTTAATTTAATAATTATGCAATACAATGTGACAAACCAACAGATAATTCCTCAATATAATAGACATTATATTAATTGTCAGTTAAATCTTCTAGAATTCTACTTCCTGAATCTTTTTTTGGGGGTATTCCAAATTGACAGTTTTTAATGTTGTTTTTTATATCTGATGTACCTGTAGTAGTACACTATACAATATCTATACAATGACATTTAACATTTAATTGTATGGAAGACATGTTGCATTAACACCCTAAACATCAAACTACATTGGGGAGATTTCAATATTTATATATTAGTACAACTAGTTGTAGATTTTTTATATAATACATATAATTGTTGGTAACAGTGACAAGGAAATTTCAATATCAAGGGTAAAATGATGATTTTCCTGTCCAGGACACACCAAGTTGTAATTATGAAATCTTACCCAAAAGACTGAAATTTGTCTTCCTCAGAAAGAGGTTTAAGTAAAATTCTCCCACACGATAGAAGAAAGATACAGTTGACATAACACAGAATTACAAATTGGTCAGAATCATGTTACTGTGTCTCTAATCATTGGTGGTGTGGGAGGAAAACAATTGTATCTTTTTATGTATACATGTCTGGATGAGTTTCAGCATTTTAAGGTTTTACTCTTCACACACACTAGATCTGGTGTTACAATGTTACACACAACTGTCATTCTATTTATCAGTAATTGTCTCCATCATGATGATTGCATATGTATATATTCACTAAATATTCAAGTATCTAATAGTAAATTCTAACGTGAGAAATTTTACATAAAAACATTTACAGGTATATTAAAAATACTGGTTATAACTGATATACAAATATATATTCTATAAAAAATATTTCATCAGACAATAACATTTACTGTGCTAAATTCTATTGATTCATGATGTTATAATAAAACGTTAGATCTCATACTGATAAATGATATGACCCAATGTGATATAAATAGTAGTGATATAACTGACTGGTATAGATCAGTGGTTGTGTTGAAGAACAGCTGTTTTAAGTGTTACTAAGGTAAGGCCCCTTTATCCAGTCTGAGGTAGGTAAGTAACTAATGTATAAGGGGAGATAACCTTGTTTATAAAACATGACACTGGTTCCAAGATAGACACCATCATAATTTGATGGTATGTTGCAATTTCTTTTTAATAAAAGGTCAAATTCTGGCGTTGAGTTTTTTTTACTGTCAAGCTTAGTGTTAAAAATCTGTTCAAACTTCAGAAGGATGACTGGCAAATTGGATACATCTTCAAACTTACTAGGTATATATTACATTTTGTTTTTAAATATTTGATCTTCAATCTAAGAAATCACTAGGTGTTGTGTGTAACATGGACACTAACAGGAACCAGTTCATATAACTTGTTATTGATAATGCTGAAGGACAAGTACTAGTAACTCATCAATGAGAACGCTATAACACAAACGCTAACATGTTTAAAACCTTAGTAAAATATCTGTGTTCAAGTTAGTTTACCGATGGAGGAGCAATTTTCATATCTCTCAATAAATAACACACACACACACATCACTTTTTAGTCCTGTACAATAACAAGAATCATGAACTCACTAGCTGCGAAAGGGAATGAGCATCTTTTAATCAGACTTGTCAATGTATGTTATTTTGGGGGGGAATTAAAACTTTGAAAACTAAATATAAGCACAGAAATGACACAACGTGGAGGTATGTCCTACTTCATCATCAGTCAGTCTCGTAAGCTAACACTGTGTGCGACATATCATCATCACAAACTGCATTTTTTCTGTTCAGGTATTGACACTAAAACTTTTAAACAAATTTCTTGCCTGGAAATAACTTTTTTTTTTTTTTTGCCAATTGTTTTAAATGAGGACTCGCAATAGCTCCCCCCCCCNATTTTATGTTGTTGTAAATTGCAATCACCTGCATTGGTGCATTGGTGCAATGATCTGGGTTTTTTTCTTGGTCATCACTAGCTTGTGGGTTTTATGAACTTGACAATTCTGCTTCCATCCCCCTCCCTCATCTTGTGACTAGTGTATACACACGGAAACATGTTTCCATGGCAACCTGGGCTATGACTAGAGATCTCTATGTATGGGACACACGAAGTACAAACACTTTCCAGATTGCACAGATTAAATAACAGATAAATTGTATGTGCAACATAACAAATGCATAAAAATGTCAGCAGTCTGTGTTTACCCTCAATTTTGAAAAAAAGACACAATAATGATCAAATTTATATCAACAACAAAAATGACAAGAAACTACACAATGTTTTGGATAAAATTGAAAAATTTGCACGTTTTATAGAATATACTAAACCCTTTGGTACAAAATGTAGTAGAAAGTTTACCACACAATCGAAACCGTTCCAGCTGTATAGAATTCAAATCAAAATATCAATTTCAAAACAAAACAAAACAACTAAAACATATAGAAAACATATAAAGAAATGTCACAAACAGTCATGTAAGAAATGGAGGTTGTACAAAAAGTTGTGACGGATTAAAAAATACCCATTACATAGTGATAGAATTGGATCTGTCCCGTAATCAATGACCTGCTAATATGGTGAAGTTTCCGTTGTGGTTTTTTTTAAAGTTATTATATGTGTTCTTTTACTATGAGATTTTATTTATTCAAAATGATTTACATTAAGATAATGATAAAAGATTGGTAACATTTGAGCTTTGTTTATGAACAAAAGAAAGCGAAATGTAACAGTGGTGAATTATTTTAGACCATTCATCTTTAATATCTGTCACAACCTAATGTCAACATCACAACCTTGTACTGAAGTAAAGACAGGGAATGACCAGTATTTATATAATGGAATCAAACCAAGCATGATCCATGAGCAAATTTCACAACCAGTACAGACTGATTACCTGGGGCTACGTACAAAGCCACTACACACCTCTATCAGGACACTCTTTTTACACCCGGTAGGATATGATACCCTACAAGACTAACCCTTATAACGGGTTACTCAATAAAACTGAACAGGGTTATTTAATAAAACTACCGGTTTATTATTTAAACTATACAGAGTTATTCAAGGTAAGTGTACAGGGTTTTTCAATGAAGCTGTATGGGTTATTTTATAAAACTGTACAGGGTTTTTCAATGAAGCTGTATGGGTTATTTTATAAAACTGTACAGGGTTTTTCAATGAAGCTGTATAGGGTTATTTTATAAAACTGTACTGGTTTATTCAATGAAACTGTATCGGTTTATTATTAAAAATATTCAGGGTTATTCAAGGAAATTGTACAGGTATATTCAATGAAGCTGTATGGGGTCATTAAATAAAACTGTACAGGATTATTGAATAAAATTGTACTGGGCGTTTCAAACAAAATATTCAGGGTTAATCCATTAGAATTGACCAGGCCTGGTCAATAAAACTGTACACAGTTATTTACAGTAAAAACTCTTGTCCTGTGAGATAGTCCCTTTCAATGAGATAAACTATTGTTTACACAAAACATGTGAATAATGCATTTAAGTACATTGATGCTTTGATAATTAACAAATACTTTGACTGGAAGAGTGAAAAAATTGGGAAATGGTGAGTATGAGTCACCATAAATCATCAACTATTTACAAGATATTTATAAATACAAGATATTAATACAAATCAATAAACATATCCAAGTAAATGATATGATTTTGGTATTGAGCAAATTTGTTTTTTTTATCATTTATACATGATTTATATCTGAGGAAGATTCTATCGTAATGGCAGTGAAATGTGACAGTAAGGCTTATACACAAGCACTGGAGTGAGGGTTTCCCAGTAGGCATCACAAAGCATGCACTGATGATGTTCTGTTATTACTAAAGAAATAATTTACATTGGTCTGTGTTTGTATTATGGTACTATATAAAATGTGGAGGAGAAAGGCTGGACAAATTTACCAACAGAGGCTGCTTGGACTATATGCTTGTCAAAAGAAACAGATGTTTTTGAAAGCTCTCAAAATAACTGTTAATTACTGTTTGCATTAAAACGAAATTAGCATTTATGCTACTCTGACTTTGTTTACAATTTCAATGCACAAAACAGGCTCTGGGGAGAATGTTGCATGTGCATACAATTTTGGAGACAAGTAGATGCATGGTTTATGTCCAATAACACATGATTATTAACCAATCAAAATGTTTATAACACACTAACTCATATAATTAATGCTGATTTTCGTTTTGGGTTTTTTCATAGCATATATCAATATCCAAGAACTTTCCAACTGTAGATATTGTTTTGAGTTAACAAATAACTATCTTTGGCATGTTTACATTAGTACATGTATAAACAAGCACTTCACTGCAGTAAAAATCTACTTGCGCTATGACTGTTTAATGTACTGCTCAGGATTAACCCCTAAAAACACATTTGAACTCTTTCAATTCAAAGTTTGGAATAGCTCATCATGGAATTTCAGGGGTGAACGAGTTAATAGAAATGATAATGACAAAAAATAATACATCTGTGATGAAAACTAATTATAAGCATCTCAAAACTTCTACACATGTACTCTTGTACTGGGTTAACATTCAAAGCAAATGAAACTGAAAAGAAAGTCGGAGGCATTGGTTTGTGGAATAACAATATGTTAAAACTGTTTTGAAAAAATATACCAAGAAACGGTTCTTACGGTGGGTTGACTTGAGCATTTGATTTGATTATCTGAGTAAAGAAGATGTAAAGATTTTGTGCTAATCATTGTAATGCATATACTAATAATACATATCTATGTACATTTATATACTAGATTGTACATGTATATACAAAACATCCTTCAAGTTTTTCACACTGTGTTTACACGAACAACTACAGTATAGATTTTCTCACTACATCTAGATTATTTCTATTAATTCACTTGACCTTATGTATTCAAGATGAATTTTGTACAATAATTAGCCTTGGGTTGGTTACAAGCTAACCTAGGGATATGCGATTACAGCAGCATATTTCAAAAGTGATTACTTGTACTTATATGTACTACATACCCTGGTACTACATATCATCATACATGTACATAATACACCATCTAAGTTACCAACTACTCCAGTTGTCTGTTCGTCGTAACTTTTTATTTTACTTTACTTGAGAATTCCTCTAGGAATACATTGAATGGGTACTCATTGAATACTCTGCACTACAGGGTTAGATCTCCCGGTATTGTTTATATCATACAGGTATATAATACACAGTATATGTATAGTAACAACGATTATTATTTTCTATACATATCAAAACTACTTTTTTTTTCCCAAATGATCTTTTTATCCATATATAGGGACGAGTCCAATTTCTGAAGATGATGATATGTGGAAATTTGAACAAGTGGAAATAAAATCACTGTACATGTGTATTTGAATAACATATTTCTCAAAATATATTTTTGGTAAATTGTTTTCTTAAAATGCTGATATGTGAAAATTTGAACAAGTGAAATTAAAATCACTGTGCATCTGCACATATGAACTCTATCAGATCAATACGTTGATGTCATGAAATTAACTTTATATATAAGAACTGCATGCACAATGTATATATATGTACCTATGTAAGCTTATTTCAGTAGTTAACAAACAATTTAAACCTTGTTTTATGTTACAAGGCAAAAACTTAAGTCATATAAAGTTACAATCTCAAATACCAGCTGATCAAACAGAATAGATTTTGTATGAAAATTGTGCCCTTAATGTGTTCCTATATAAATGTATTCTAAATCATGTTCTGTTTCATATTCGTGTAACTGTGACTGTGTAGTCAATTAACAAAATTTCATCTGAATTGTAAATGTATTTAAGTTGGTATAAAATGGAAAAAATATTTGATATAAAAAACAACAGCTTTTGGCAATTAAACGAGGCCTTCATTTGATGTATAGGGTACTAATAGTTGCAAAATATTTTTTCTTTCAATACATCTGTAAGCATATCTTGATTTTGAAGTAAAATGTAAATTTTAAGTGATAAAAGCCCTTTGGTTAAAATATATACCGTAGATTGGATTCTAATAAAGCACTTTTGAATATATTTTTAAATAGATCTGGTATATCATATATATCAACAATGTATAGTCTATTACAGTGATTGACAGCATTTGATGAAAAAATATAAACAATTTCATCAATTCTTATAAAAATATTTGGTGGAAACATATAATCAATATCTAAGTTTTGTAGAACATACATACATGTCTGTTGTGTGACTACTTTATATGAAAACATCAATAGTTCATGTCAATGTCTTCACAGACTGTACACATGTTATACACATTACACATACACGGCAAATGCGTATCTAAATGACATTTTAAATAGGAAAATTTACAATTCATTATGCCTTTTTAAACAATTCAACTTTATTGATAACAAATAACAATGTTTAACAAACAAAAGCACCATCTTTTGTATTAAATTATTGAATGTTTTTACTTTAGAGAAATATAATGAGAGAAATGCTATAAAATGTGTTTTGAATCAATCAAGTAGGTAAAATTAATGTTTTTCGACATGTACAATAAGAATTAAGATACATGTAATAATTGGTTAGCCCTATTTAACTACAGTCCCTGATTGGTTAATGATCAGTGACCATGCCCTTACAGTGACTGATACATGATATTTTGTGACACATCTCGGAATCCTCTTCAGTCTCTCACACCCAGTCCTCTAGCATTATGTATTAACATCCACAATCCTCAGCATTGATGGTGAACTTGAATCATATGAAGATGAAGTTGATCTGCTGTTACAGTCACCTCCCTGCATTTCAGGAAACCTCTGTATACTGACTGTCACCACTTGTACCGTGAGATTACGTTATAAGACTACAGATCTCTCCTTCTTGAGCTGTTTGTTCATCACAGATCTTATTTACAAAATAAACTGTACACTGTGGCTTGTTTTCAATTGAATTGACAGAACATAAGATTCCAGTTATCTCCCTTTCTCCAACAAATTTTTAAAACATACCGCTTCCAGTTAAATTGGACAAACATTTGAATTTTTCATACACTGGAAATAGGTTTCCTTTATGCTAAAATTTGTTCCCAAAAAGTGATGCCACACAAAATAATAAAACCTCTGATTATGAAGAGTGTGGTACTGGATTGGTAGCGAACAGTTGGTAACCATGGTAAGTTGAGGATCCCCTGCTATAGGTTGGACACATGCAGGGTTTTCTGCGACATGTACTGGGTAAATAGTGGGTGGATGAGCAGGTCTTTAGCTGAGGGTCTCTCCTCTTTCTTCTGCTCTAAACACCGCAGCATGAGATCTCGCATTGGTGGTGATATGTTTTCTGGGATTGGGGGTGGCTCCTGTGACGTAGCGATCTACAACAAGGGAGATAATGTTACAGTACATGATATTTAGAGGGAATTTTTATTTGTTAATATCATAATTAAAATTAATTTACTACAAAATAAACATTTCTTAATGATCCCTTCACATTTTTTTGAGTGTTTTCATCAATTGTGCTTATTCATATTCCAAGACGATTCGTACAATGTTGCTATTTTGAGCTCTTTGTACCAAACTGACCTTGAATATTAGAGCTAGGTGGTTGGAGATGTCCTTAGCTCCCCAGGGAGGCCTGGCTGTGACCATCTCAATCATACAACAACCCACACTCCATATGTCGCATGCTCTGCCGTAGTTCTCACCTCTTAAAACCTATATAAATATTGATAAAGATTCAACGTTATTACATACCTAATTATTCCTACTAGAAAGGATGTGGTGTCATACTCCTTGTATGGCACAACTTGTTTTGGCTGAAACACATCTGCTATTATCCATTAATCAAATTGATAAACTGAAACCAGAAAGAGTTCTACAATATGTTGACCTGATTTTGTACTATGGTAATTTTATGTCATTTTCCATCCTCACTGCCATTTTGTATAGTTTTCAGGGAGCAAATTGAACATTAATATTGAATAATCACAGGTATTTTTTAATAGAAATTATAACATATTAAGAACAATTACATGTATATAATAACAGCAATACCAGACATGACTTTATCTCACAGGTAGCACCATTACATTGTACGGTTGTATACATCCACTCGAACATGTATTGCCCGACACCAATGCGGGCAAATTTATCATGACAGCGAATTCTAGTTCACAACATGCAATATATAGTAATTACATATGAAGGGTGAAAATAACACTGGGCAAACATGGATTTCATCGGAAAAGGATGAATATTTGTCTTGGCGATAGTTTCTTGGTATACAGCAAACTGCAACTACAACTATAGTCATTAAAATACTACCTATAATCTGACAAATCTCATATCTGATATAATAATAACAAGCTTTCAGTTATGTTCAAACGGGAGATTTCCTTATTTTAACAATTTATTGATTAAACCTTTTGTCTGTGAAAATGTTGTTTCTCGTGCACTGAAGCACTTTAAGCTGTACAAATATCAGATTACAATTTGGTAAAGGATTGAGCGTATAACAACAAGATCAACGAAGAGAAATGTTCATGGTGTGTTACCTCTGGGGCCATGAAGGCAATGGTTCCCAGCAGCTGTCCCTGGAACTCTCCTGCACCTGTGGCCTGGGAAGCGAGACGAGCGGCTGCCCCGAAATCTCCGATCCTCAACCGCTGTCCCGTGCTGTCCACCAACAGATTGGCTCCTGTACAGACAGATAGTCATGTCATGCAAGTGTCATAGGATACAGGAAACTTTAAAGATAGCATTACCTTGCATTAATATACAACACGGAGTTTTCAACATTATGAGATGTTTCATTGAGGTATCATCCATATGTAATTCCGTCTTTGCGTATTGCAGAGTTATCTTCTCTTGGGAGCAGGTATTGATTGTTACGTCATTGGTTTGTGTGAGAAAATTACGTCGTTTTCTCAAAAATTGATGACGTTACTCTCACAAACAAGTGACGTAACAATCAATACCTGCTCCCAAGTGAAGATAACTCTGCAATACGCAAAGACGGAATAGGTAAACAAATGTACCAGGAACTTTTTGCCACATTTTGACTTTCGCCATTTCCACTTACTCTTATAATGGCAAATTTATAATGACAGTAAATATTAGTTCACAGTTTACCAAACATTGTTAGGTAACTATATAAGGAGGCAAAATTAACATCAGCAAAAATGGTTTTTACAAATGAAGGGCAAAAGTTTGACTAGGCAAACATTTCCCAGTATAGAGTATTTACTCCACATGAGCCTACTGCTGATAGAAAAGATTGACTCTAAATTATTTTCAACATTTAAATGTACAGAATATGACCAGGTTTGCACACAAATTCAGAATTCTAAGGATAATCTCAAGTAGTACCTTGATCAAATCTCTGATTTGTGATAGTTAAAACTCAAACTACCAACATGAATAACGAAGACCATGGGTAAACAACATACCTTTGAGATCCCTGTGTAAAACGTGGTTGTCATGGAGATAAGCCATTCCTCGTAGTATCTGAAGGGTATAACTGGTCATCACGTTCTCCGATAATGCCCCGTAAGTACTCAGCAGGGCAGCCAGAGACCCAGCTGTACGAGGAGAGAATTACGTTAGCTGATTTCGTGAGATTTTTTTTTATTATTCTAGGAGATTCATAAATAATCAAAATTTTGGTAACATCAATTATGACTTTTCATATGAACATAGCTTTCAGTTGCATGTTTAGGGAAAAATAAACATGTTAAGCGGAGATAAACAAAAAGTGCCTGATATTAATCTCAGAGGTTTTAAAGAAGGGTTCCCTCTTGTTTGCAGTATTTAAAAAAAAAAAATATTACCGGTATGTTTTTCTTGTTGTTGTGGATTTGAAATAACTTAATACATCTAACATACAATCAATACTAACACTGCAACATGGGGGGGTCGGG